GTATGGGGGAATCCAACAACAGGTATGGGGAATCATGCACCAGGTATGGGGAATCATACAACAACAGGTATTGGGGAATCAAACAACATGTATGGGGGAATCAAACATCAGGTATTGGGGAATCAAACAGCCAGGTATTGGGGAATCAAACACCAAGTATGGGAACCAAACATCAGGTATTGGGGAATCAAGCACCAGGTATGGGATTCCAACAACAGGTATTGAGGGAATCACACATCAGGTATGGGGGAATCATACACCAGTTATGGGGAATCATACATCAGGTATGGGGGATTCCAACAACAGGTAGTGGGGAATCATACACCAGGTATAGGGGAATCATACACCAGGTATGGGGGAATCAAACAACATGTATGGGGGAAATCAAACACCAGGTATTGGGGAATCAAACATCAGGTACGAGAATCATGCACCAGGTATGGGGGAATCAAACATCAGGTACGGGGAATCATGCACCAGGTATGGGGAATCAAACAACATGTATGGGGAATCAAACACCAGGTATTGGGAATCAGACAGCAGGGTGAATTGAGGAGTCAAACTGGCAGGTATTGGGAACCAAACATCAGGTATTGGGGAATCAAACAACAGGTATGGGAATCAAACAACAGGTATTGGGGAATCAAACACCAGGTATGGCGGAATCATACACCAGGTATGGGGGAATCATACACCAGGTATGGGGGATTCCAACAACAGGTATTGGGGAATCATACATCAGGTATGGGTGAATCATACACCAGGTATGGGGGATTCCAACAACAGGTATTGGGGAATCATACATCAGGTAGTGGGGAATCATACACCAGGTAAGGGGAATCAAGCAACAACAGGTATGGGGGAATCAAACAACATGTATTGGGGGAATCAAACACCATGTATTGGGGAATCAAACACCAGGTATGTGGGAATCAAACACCAGGTATGGGAGATCAAACATCAGGTATTGGGGAATCAAACACCAGAGTATTGGGGAATCATACATCACGTATGGGGGAGTCCAACAACAGGTATGGGGGAAGAAAAACACCAGGTATGGGTGAATCAAACACCAGGTATGGGTGAATCAAACACCAGGTATTGTGGAATCAAACAACAGGTATGGGGGAATCAAACACACATGAGGTATGGGGAATCATACACACCAGGTATGGGGGGAATCAAACAACAACAGGTATTGGGGAATCAAACAACATGTATGGGGGAATCAAACATCAGGTATTGGGGAATCAAACACCAGGTATTGGGGAATCATACACCAGGTATTGGGGAATCATACATCAGGTATTGGGGGAATCAAACACCAGGTATGGGGAATCATACAACAGGTGGGGAGTTCACATACGGGTATGGGGAATCATACATCAGTTATGGGGAATCATACATCAGGTATGGGGGATTCCAACAACAGGTTTTGGGGAATCATACACCAGGTATGGGGAATCATACACCAGGTATGGGGAATCAAACAACATGTATGGGAAATCAAACACCAGGTATTGGGGAATCAAACATCAGGTACAGGGAATCATGCACCAGGTATGGGGGAATCAAACATAAGGTACTGGGGAATCATGCACCAGGTATGGGGGAATCAAACAACAACAGGTATTGGGAATCAAACAACAGGTATTGGGAATCAAACACCAGGTATTGGGGGAATCAAACACCAAGTGGGGGAACCAAACATCAGGTATTGGGGAATCAAACACCAGGTATGGGGGATTCCAACAGCAGGTGTGGGGGAATCACACATCAGGTATGGGGGAATCATACACCAGTTATGGGAATCATACATCAGGTATGGGGATTCCAACAACAGGAGTGGGGAATCATACATCAGGTATGGGGAATCATACATCAGGTATACACACCAGGGGAGTCAAACAACAGGTATTGGGAATCAAACATCAGGTATTGGGGAATCAAACAACATCGGGTATGGGGAATCAAACAACAACAGGTATGGGGGAATCAAACAACATGTATGGGGGAATCAAACACCAGGTATTGGGGAATCAAACATCAGGTATGGGGAATCATACACCAGGTATGGGTGAGATCAAACAACATGTATTGGGGAATCAAACAACAGGTATTGGGGGAGTCAAACACCAGATATTGGGGAACCAAACAACAGGTATTGGGAATCAAACAACAGGTATGGGAATCAAACAACAGGTATTGGGAATCAAACACCAGGTATGGGGGAATCATACATCAGGTATGGGGGAGTCCAACAACAGGTATTGGGGAATCAAACAAGCAGGTATGGGGGAATCAAACAACATGTATGGGGGAATCAACACACCAGGTATGGGGGAATCAAACAACAGGTATTGGGGAATCAAACACCAGGTATGGGGAATCAAAGCATCAGGTATGGGGGAATCAAACAGCAGGTATGGGAATCAGCAACAGGTATGGGGGAATCAAGCACCAGGTATGGGGAACCAAACATCAGGTATTGGGGCATCAAACAACAGGTATGGGGAACCAAACAGCATCAGGTATGGGGAATCAAACACCAGGTATGGGGAATCATACATCAGGTATGGGGGAACCAAACATCAGGTATGGGAACCAAACATCAGGTATTGGGGAATCACACACCAGGTATTGGGGAATCATACATCAGGTATGGGGGAATCACACACTAGGTATGGGGAATCACACACCAGGTATGGGGGAATCATACATCAGGTATGGGGGAGTCAACAACAGGTATTGGGGAATCAAACAACAGGTATGGGGGAATCAAACAACAGGTATGGGGCAATCATACACCAGTTATGGGGGAATCAAACACCAGGTATGGGGGATTCAACAACAGGTGTGGAGAATCATACATCGGTAGGGGGAATCATACACCAGGTATTTGGGGAATCATACACCAGGTATGGGGGATTCAAACAACAGGTATTGAGGAATCATACATCAGGTATGGGGAATCATACATCAGGTATGGGGAGTCATACACCAGGTATTGGGGAATCATACATCAGGTATGGGGGAATCATACACCAGGTATGGGGGAATCAAACAACATGTATGGGGCAATCATACACCAGGTATTGGGGAATCAAAGATCAGGTACGAGGAATCATACACCAGGTATGGGGGAATCAAACAACAACAGGTATGGGGGAATCAAACAACATGTAGGGGGTGAATCAAACACCAGGTATTGGGGGAATCAAACACCAGGTATTGGGGAATCAAACACCAGGTATGGGGGAACCAAACATCAGGTATTGGGAATCAAACACCAGGTATGGGGGATTCCAACAACAGGTATGGGGGAATCATACACCAGGTATGGAGGAATCATGCATCAGGTATGGGGGATTCCAGGTGGTTGGGGAATCAAACATCAGGTATGGGGAATCATACACCAGGTATTGGGGAATCAAACATCAGGTATGGGGAATCAAACAACATGAGGTATGGGGGAATCAAACAAGAACAGGTATGGGGGAATCAAACAACATGTATGGGGAATCAAACACCAGGTATTGGGGAATCAAACATCAGGTATGGGGAATCATACACCAGGTATGGGGCAATCAAACAACATGTATTGGGAATCAAACAGCAGGTATTGGGGAGTCAAACTCAGATATTGGGGAACCAAACAACAGGTATTGGGGAATCAAACAACAGGTATGGGGAATCAAACAACAGGTATTGGGGAATCAAACACCAGGTATGGGGGAATCATACATCAGGTATGGGGGAGTCCAACAACAGGTATTGGGGAATCATACACCTGGTATGGGCGAATCAAACAACAACAGGGATGGGGGAATCAAACAACAGCAGGTATGGGGAATCAAACAACATGTATGGGGGAATCAAACACCAGGTATTGGGGAATCAAACAACAGGTATTGAGGAATCAAACACCAGGTATTGGGGAACCAAACATCAGGTATTGGGGAATCAAACAACAGGTATGGGGAATCAAACAACAGGTATTGGGGAATCAAACACCAGGTATGGCGGAATCATACACCAGGTATGGGGGAATCATACACCAGGTATGGGGGATTCCAACAACAGGTATTGGGGAATCATACATCAGGTATGGGGGATTCCAACAACAGGTATTGGGGAATCATACATCAGGTATGGGGGAATCATACACCAGGTAAGGGGGAATCAAACAACAACAGGTATGGGGGAATCAAACAACATGTATTGGGGAATCAAACACCAGGTATTGGGGAATCATACAACAGGTATTGGGGAATCAAACACCAGGTATGGGGGAACCAAACATCAGGTATGGGGAATCAGGTAACAAGGGGGAATCAAACACCAGGTATGGGGAATCATACACCAGGTATGGGGGAATCAAGATCAGGTACGAGGGGAGTCCAACAACAGGTATGGGGAAGAAAAAACACCAGGTATGGGTGAATCAAACCCAGGTATGGGTGAATCAAACACCAGGTATTGGGGAATCAAACAACAGGTATTGGGGAATCAAACAACAGGTATGGGGAATCAACAGCAGGTATGGGGAATCAAACAACAGGTATTGGGGAATCAAACAACAGGTATGGGGAATCAAACACCAGGTATGGGGAATCATACACCAGGTATTGGGGAATCAAACAACAGGTATGGTGGAATCATACACCAGGTATGGGGGAATCAAACACCAGGTATGGGGGAATCAAACACCAGGTATGGGGAATCAAACACCAGGTATGGGGAATCAAACACCAGGTATGGGGAATCAAACTACAGGTATGGGGGAATCAAACAACAGGTATTGGGGAATCAACCAACAGGTATGGGGAATCATACACCATGTATGGGGAATCAAACACCAGGTATGGGTGAATCATACACCAGGTATTGGGGAATCATACACCAGGTATGGGGAATCAAACACTACGTACGGGGCTGAAGTGATGGAGGATAATGTATTAGGTATGGGTAATCGGTCCACCCGATTGGTCGGTACTTACTGCCGCGAGGTAGCCCTCCCATAATTTCAACTCCTTTCGAGCAGCCTCGTACTTCGTCTTTAACAGCTCCTGAAATACAAAATGAATATATCAACGAAGAATATATACACACAAAATCAACAGTCAGGCTGTGGGAAGCAGTGGCCTTCACCGATGGTGGCGGTCACGGCTTCAAGGGGAGAGGACGGCCTTCACTGATGGTAGCGCAGTCACTGATTGAGTGGGACAGAACGACCTTCACTGATGGTGGCGCAGTCACTGATTGACATGGACAGAACGACCTTCACTGATGGTAGGGCAGTCACTGATTGAGTGGGAGAGGACGACCTTCACTAATGGTGGCGCAGTCACTGATTCAGTGGGACAGAATGACCTTCACTGATGGTGGCGCAGTCACTGATTCAGTGGGACAGAACGACCTTCACTGATGGTAGCGCAGTCACTGATTGAGTGGGAGAGGACGACCTTCACTAATGGTGGCGCAGTCACTGATTGAGTGGGACAGAATGACTTCACTGATGGTGCGCAGTCACTGATTCAGTTGGAGAGGACGACCTTCCCCGATGGTAGCACAGTCACTGATTCAGTGGGACAGAACGACCTTCACTGATGGCAGCGCAGTCACTGATTCAGTGTGACAGACAGACCTTCACTGATGGTAGCGCAGTCACTGATTCAGTGGGACAGACAGACCTTCAATGATGGTGGCAGTCACTGATTCAGTGGGACAGAACGACCTTCACTGATGGTAGCGCAGCCACTGATTGATCTGAAATATCTTTCAATGGCAAAAAAAAGTATATATTTAAACGTTTTTCGAAAGCTGACTCCCTCGCCACTACCCCCCGGGTAAGCAACATTATGACTCACTAGGACCACAGGACTGAGGATGGTTACAGGGCAACATGTCTGATATAACTTACCTCATCAAGTTTCTCTTTCGGGGTACTAAATCTGTAGTGAGCGATGTTCACGATGAAGTTGTCGTACACGGTGGCAGTCTGCAGAAATTAGAATAACCAAATGAAAGTTAAATGAAACACTAAATGTTTATTGGGCGTTTATATGGAGGAATTTCTTCATAGTGAAATATTTTGTGGTCAACGTAATGCTATAGTATATAGGTACACTGACACACCTTAAGTCGATCTCTCCTCAACCACAGAGAATGAATTAAGAATGAAGTCTTACTCGCCTCTGTGGCATCACTGAGTGTCTACAGGAAACAATTTCATGGTTACACTATTCCTTTTTGGGGGTGGTGGGATAGCCAAGTGGTTAGAGCGTTCGCTAGTCACGCCGGAAACCGAGGTTCGATTCTCCACCTGGGTACAATGCGTGAAGCCCATTTCTGGCGTCCCCAGCCGTGATATTGCTTGAATATTCTATTGCTAAATTCGGCGTAAAACCAAACTCACTGACTATTTCTTCTAAATAATGTCCAGAGCTTATCACTCAGTCTTTGAATATGTTCGTCTTGCTCGGGGCGGTGGGGTAGCCTCGTGGTTAAAGCGTTCGCTCGTCACGCCGAGACCCGGGTTCGATTTCCCACATGGGTACACTGTGTGAAGCCCATTTCTGCTGTCACCCGCCGTGATATTGATGGAATATTGCTAAAGGCGGCGTAAAACTAAACTCACTCACTCACTCAGTCGGCTAGTATTCATTCACTGTAAACCAGTGATGTAGAATCGACTAGGGTATATAGTCACAATCAACTAGGAACTGGTAAACAATATTCAGAATCGGCTAGTATGCAGTCAAAGTCAACTAGCGATTTAACATTGACTGGTATGCAATCTCAAAAGGTCAGTAGTGATTTATAATTGGCTAGTATGCAGTCATTTCTGTCTTGACTGGCTAGTAGCCAGTCACAATAAGCTAGTCATGCATAATAACTTGAAGACACAATAATCCGACAATAAGCCAAAGTTCCTGCTCTGAACGCAACAGAATCGACCCGTAAAGATCCGAGTTAGAATTGGTTTTCAGTAACACAGGCCCTCGTGTCTTTGCGAGGTTTGATGATTAAAAAACATATTGGATTTGAGATAACCCCCGACTCGAAATGCTTCACCTAACGATGCTTCACCTAATTGTACTGTGAAGCATTTCGATTCGGGGGTCATCTCAAATTTATATATATTTTTTAAAAATCTTAAATCCTCGCAAAGACACGAGGGCCTGTGTTCAGTAACCCATGTGTGTCGCGAGGGGCGAATAACGGAATCGGGTTGTCAGGCTCGCTGACCTGGTTGACACGTGTCATTGTATCCCAATTACGTAGATCGATGCTCATGCTGTTGATCATTTGATTGTCTGATCCAGGCTCGATTATTTACAGACCGCTGCCATATAGCTGGAATATTGCTGAGTGCGGCGTAAAACAACGAACAGACATACACAGCAGAAACAATGTAACAGACGTGTAATGTCAAGTAGGTCTGGAATGGTGTTTTATGTTTGCATCAAAGAAAATCGAACTTCGAAATATCCGATTTTCTCACCTCAGCACATCTCTTTACAATTCGGCCAAATTCGGCTTTATCGTCAGGAAGGAGTTTCGTCCCTTTGTCTGGAAATTTATTCTGCAAAAGAAATATATATTTTCGATTATATTACATTGCCGCATTTCAAATTTGAACGAAATCGGTGAAGAAATGGATTTTTTAGAAAATTCTCCCGCTACACTCATTACATATTATGAGTCAGCAAATTTCAGTAAGATCAGTCGTCTGCTACAAAAGGCAATATTTAAATAGGAAGCCACGTGATCACAACATTCCCTCGCAGTGCGGAACGAAAAGTATGGCTCATCGTCGAAAACCCATACAAAATACCCGGATGTGGAGGGCGGCGACAGTTTCGCCGATACGATGTCATCAACGCTATTTTTGTAGGGAACACTTGACATTTTTGCATGAAATAAATGAATATATCCTTTATCACTCAAGGTTAGTCAAATAAAAACTTTAAATGATATTAAGATAAAAAATACGTTTTTGTCTTACATCGTAGAATACCCCTGACACCGGACACATCGTGACCTAGACGATTGCGCCAGTCACCGATTATTATTGATGAGAACTCCAGCTTAACATTTTAACAAGCCTTAGTCTAGCCTATCGTCTACGTTAGACCCTTTGCCCCAGAGAGTACATTCCAAAGTTAATCAAACTTAAATCCACGTGCCGGGGGCGGTGGGGTAGCCTAATGGTTAAAGCGTTGGCTCGTCACGCCGAAGACCCGGGTTCGAATCCCCACATAGGCACAATGGGTGAAGCCCATTTCTAGTGTCCCCCGCCGTGATGTTGCTGGAATATTTCTAAAAGCGGCGTAAAACCAAACTCAGTCAGTCAGTTAGTCCACGTGCCGGTGTAAGACGTTGGTGCTGTAAGTCATGTGAGACGTTTGTGGCATGTGTCATGTGAGATGTGGTGATGTGCGACGCGTAGATGTGTTGAAGTGAGATGTAGTCATGTGAGACGTGGTGGTGTGTGATTTGAAACGTTTTGACGTGGTGACATGCGACGTTGAGACGTGGTGATGTGAAACATGGAGATGTGTGATGTGAACGTGGTGACGTGGTGGTGGTGATGTGTGATGTGAACGTGGTGACGTGAAACATGATGATGTGAGGTGGGTGATGAGAGACGTGGTTATTTGAGACATTGTGATGTGAGACATGGTGATGTGAGACGTGGTGATGTGAGATGTGATCATATGAGACGTGGTTACGTGTAATGTAAAACGTTTTGACGTATGTGGTGACGCGGTGCTGTGAGATGTGGTGACGAGATACATCTTCATGTGAGACGTGGTTACGTGAGATGTGGTGATGTTTTATGTGGTCATGAGCTACGTAGTGATGTGAGACGTGGTGATGTGAGACGTGGTGATGTGAGACGTGGTGATGTAAGGCGTAGTGATGTGGAGCCTGAGTGATGTGAGACGTGGTGATGTATGAGACGTGGTGATGTGAGACGTGGTGATGTAAGGCGTAGTGATGTAAAGGCGTAGTGATGTGAGACGTGGTGATGTGAGACGTGGTGATGTGAGACGTGGTGATGTGGAGACGTGATGATGTGAGACGTGGTGATGTAAGGCGTAGTGATGTAAAGGCGTAGTGATGTGAGACGTGGTGATGTGAGAGACGTGGTGATGTGAGACGTGGTGATGTAAAGGCGTAGTGATGTGAGCCTGAGTGATGTGAGACGTGGTGATGTGAGACGTGGTGATGTGAGACGTGGTGATGTAAGGCGTAGTGATGTAAGGCGTAGTGATGTGGAGACGTGGTGATGTAAGACGTGGTGATGTAAGGCGTAGTGATGTGAGACGTGGTGATGTGAGACGTGGTGATGTGAGACGTGGTGATGTAAAGACGTGGTGATGTGAGCCTAGAAGTGATGTGAGACGTGGTGATGTGAGACGTGGTGATGTGAGACGTGGTGATGTAAGGCGAGTGATGTAAGGCGTAGTGATGTGGGACGTGGTGATGTGAGACGTGGTGATGTGGGACGTGGTGATGTAATGCGTGGTGATGTGAGACGTGGTGATGTGGAGACGTGGTGATGTAAGGCGTAGTTATGTAAGGCGGAGTGATGTGAGACGTGGTGATGTGGAGACGTGGTGATGTGAGACGTGGTGATGTAAGGCGTGGTGATGTAAAGGCGAGTGATGTAGGGCGTAGTGATGTGAGACGTAAGTGATGTGAGACGTGGTGATGTGGAGACGTGGTGATGTGGGACGTGGTGATGTAAGGCGTAGTGATGTGAGACGTGGTGATGTGGAGACGTGGTGATGTGAGACGTGGTGATGTAAGGCGTGGTGATGTAAGGCGTAGTGATGTGAGGCGTGGTGATGTGAGACGTGGTGATGTGACGTGGTGAGAGGCGTAAGTGATGTGAGCCTGGGTGATGTGAGACGTGGTGATGTGAGAGACGTGGTGATAAAGGCGTAGTGATGTGAGCCTGGGTGATGTGAGACGTGGTGATGTGAGACGTGGTGATGTGAGACGTGGTGATGTAAAGGCGTAGTGATGTAAGGCGTAGTGATGTGAGACGTGGTGATGTGAGACGTGGTGATGTGAGACCGTAGTGATGTGGGGGACGTGGTGATGTGGGACGTGGTGATGTGAGACGTGGTGATGTGAGACGTGGTGATGTAAAGGCGTGGTGATGTAAGGCGTGGTGATGTGAGACGTGGTGATGTGAGACGTGGTGATGTGGGGACGTGGTGATGTGAGACTTGGTGATGTGAGACGTGGTGATGTGAGACGTGGTGATGTGGGAGACGTGGTGATGTGAGACTTGGTGATGTGAGACGTGGTGATGTGAGACGTGGTGAAACCGTCAATTCCAGTTTTCCTCAACAAAAGAAACCTGCCTCAAGTTGTCGCTGAGCATACAGAGCCAAAGGGCAGGACAGGACAATAGTTGCATTTTCACCATCTAACATACATGAGTATGGCGTCTGATCAAAACACACGAACACGGTTTGGTTCACAAAGGTACATAATTTCAAGGACTGCCTGCGTGGTGTAGTGGTTAGAACCACAGGGGTTCGAATCACTGTTTGGACAATAATTTTTAAAAATAAAAATCTAGATTTTGCAACCGTATATTGTTTTATATGTTATGAGTAACTTATATTACAAATTTGAACGAAATCGGTGAAGAAATGGATTTTTATAAAATTCTCCCGCTACACTCATTACATAATATTGTAGACTATGCTGATGATGTTGATCACTGAATTGTTTGGTCCAGACTCGATTATTTACAGACCACCGCCATATAGCTGGAATATTGCCGAGTGCGGCGTAAGACTAAACTCACTCACTCACTCACCATTATTAGCCAGGCATTTGTGTATGAGACCAGCTGGTCATTCTCGCTATTTTGCGTTCATGCTCAAAATATCCTCTTAATCCGTAACCATTAAGTGAGATTGTATTATGAAATGGTCAGGAAGGCAGGTGTTCCGGTCGCTTGTGTACATTTGGCCTCTTGCATGTTTATACAGTATCACTGGCTTCCCTATGTTATTCTTTACCCTATCAGTTGCCATGTTGTTTTAGCGTATCACTGGCCTCCTCATGTTTGCACTATATCCCACCAATCTAATACTATGTTTTAATAGTGTATCACTGCCCTCATGTTTTAATACATATTCTTTCCTCATCATTGTTAACTTGTCAAACATGTTTTCTGTGTAAGTGCCTCACCATTTTATATATATATTCTCCCTTATACTCCCTACCCTTCACCTGATGAAGGAGCAAGCATACACTCCGAAACGTCGTGTTATTCACAATAAAGAAGTGTTGACATCCATAAATCTTGCTTTTCTTACTCACTCACCTAACTAGACTACCGCTTAGTCCCTAAATATATATAATTTTGATAGTACCAAATAAACCCATTTAAATTGAAAAGGAGCCCCAGTGAGTTGGGAGATTCGACCTGAGGAAATCTAGACTTGCTTCATTTAGGGCTTAAGCATTGCAGGGAGGACTAGGCAGTAGGGAAATTCGTGTGTTTCAGGGACTGTGAGCCGGACTATCACCTAACCAACTGGGACATTTGTCCCGGAGTGACAAGAGAAGCAGAATAAAGCTTGATTGAAAACGAAATGACTTAACCCATTTCATTGCAAGTGCAGTTGACCCGTAAACATCCGGGTTGGAATTGATTTTCTCCACAACCTGCTGAGTCACGGGCCGGGCTTCAGACCGCCGCCATACAAATGGAACATTGCTGAGTGCGGCGTTACCCCAAAATAAACAAACCAACCCCGGTGATTTGAAATATAAACCGGTATGACACAAGTGGCAAAGCATGCATCAATAGTTAGTCGAACGTTTCTCCCAGGACTGATAAGGACTGATAAGGACTGATAACTGACTGTGTCTGACTCAACAGCTATCTGTCTTGGCTCGCTCTAACAACGCGAATATTTTTTGTCGGTTGTTAACATAAAGCTCTTGCACAACATTTAAGTAATTAGACGATATAGAGTAACCCAAATGCTTCATTGGTCAAGTGAGATTTCATTTATACAACATCCAAACACGTACGCACTCGTACTCGCACGACCACGCGCACGTACTCACGCACGCATGCACGCACACACACATTCACATGAGATGTCAGCTGAAGCGGATTGTTCAGATTGTTTATGTCACGAATGTCAGCATCGGCGTGTCACATACGCACGCACACGCACGTTCGCTCGATAGGCCTTGTTACATGTTGATGCGTTTGTTGATTACCTTAAGATAGAAGCAGATGGCGTTTGACTCGTTCACAACAACGTCGCCATCTTTGAATGTCGGCATCTGAAACAAATTTCATGCAAAAGAAAGAAAGAACTAGAAATATCTGACGGAGTGTTGCTGAAATTCATATAAAATGAATACCTAATATGGATTTCTCATGTCTGCATTTACAGGGAGTGATTTGTGCGCTTAGAGTAAAGAACGGCCAAATGTGTACAGTTAATGGATACAATGGGATTTCAAACGGATCTCACGATGCACCTTTAAGCCCCATGACATTTTGCCGACCTTGACATTATGTGGTGGTGGTGGAATTGGGACGCTTTAACCACTACACCACGCAGGCGGTCCTTGAAATTATGTACCTTTGTGAGCCAAAACGTGTTCGTGTTTTGATCAGATGCCATAATCATGTATGTTTGATGTTGAAAATGCAACTATTGTCCTGTCGGTTGTCTCCCTTGCTGAAAACTGGAATTGACGGTTTCACCACGTCTAACATCACCACGTCTCACATCACTACGCCTTACATCACCACCACGTCTCACATCACCACGTCTCATATCACTACGTCTGTCTCAAATCACCACGACTCACATCACCACGTCTCACATCACCACGTCTCACATCGCCACGTCTCACATCACCACGTCTCACATCACCACGTCTCACATCACCGCGTCTCACATCCTCACATCGCCACGTCTCACATCACCACATCTCACATCACAACGTCTCAAATCGCCACGTCTCACATCACCACGTCTCACATCACCACATCTCACATCACCACGTCTCACCAATCAATCAATCTTTATTCAGAACTGAAGGCCACAGGCCCATAGTACAGTGTATATACAAAATTCAAAAGCAGAGTGGGTTTTCTCTTCAATATCGCATGGTATATGAACAAAGCAATATTTTCAATCAATATACGATTAGAAGTTGACAACAGTTTGATAAATTTATGTTTTTTGACGTTTGTTTCGTAAAAGTAACTGGGTATATATTTGCTTCTAATGTTTCTATAATAGTCACAAATTAGCAGTACATGGTATTCATCTTCCAAGACATTCATTTTACAATATCTGCACACAGTAGATTTCTTGTAGAAATTTTCCCTTATAACAACTTAAATCATAATAAACAGACTGAGAAACTGTGATAGGCTTGTCTTACTTTCTTGAT